AATGTATCTCGTTAGGAAGCACAAAGAATGTTCTTTCTATAAACTAGACAGCAGGTGGTCGGAATATGGAGAGCCAGTGTACATTGTATTCCCATGCAGCATGGGCCCACTCTGTACACATTGAAAAACTATTAAGTGGAAGAGTGTGAAAACATCTAAAGAAAAAAAGACATGGAAAATCACGAGCGAGTGGAATGCGAACTGTTGGAGCAGTGCAGCCAGGTCGCTACTTTGATGGAATGTTTCGTGTGGTTGCAACGATGCGACGAGTGCATCAAGCGGCTCGAAGAACTTTGTCGTGCCAAGCGTCCGCGCATCGCCGTTGGACACAGGCAATTCGTAGTGGCAAGGATTGCGCAACTCGCGGGTGCAAAGACACAATTAGAGCGACGTTTCGTGCACGTTGGTGCCGGGTACGCGAGTCGCGATGAAAGATCTCTCGTCTGGCGAGGGATCGACACCGCGTTTGAAATCCGTATATTGACGGGTGCTGTGGTCAATGTGGATTACATTAAGCCGCGGCGGTTTTTGGAAGACGCGAGAGAAATAGTGCTCGAACGTGTGCGAGACGCTGTAGAAAGACACGGTAGTACAAAAGTGAATACCGCGTTCAACGGCGAGTTTGCGACGAACAACAAACGTGACATTAAGAGTATAAACACTAAGAACAGCGAGATATATCGATACACAGATTTGTGCAAGTGGTACGAGCAGCATATCATCGAGCCCACGTTGACATCACTCGAAGAGTTCCAGGAACAGCGGGTGGGCATTATCGCGAATCTTCAATTTGACTATCAATGTGAACAAACTAAATTCCATGCGCGCGGGATACTTCGAAGTGTCGCGGGAAATTATACTTAAGAAAGCGGTGATCAATATTCGTATGGCGGACAATGCGTGCTTCGCGTGGTCGGTGGTCGCCACTCTGTACCCGGCTGAAAGAAATGCAGATCGGCAATCATCGTATCCACATTATATGACAGTGTTGAATCTCGCGGGTATCGAATTTCCAATGACATTAAAAAGCATTCATAAATTCGAACGGTTGAATGCAGTGTCGATCAATGTATACGGCATCGAGAATAAATAAACAAGTCCTTCCTCTACAGTTCACCAGTGACAAGAAGAAGAAACACGTGCTGTATATGCAAGATCCACGCGACGACGGTGTCGGCCACTTTGCGGATAAAAAATCTGTCGCATCTCGTGAGCTCGCAACTCAGCAAAAAAGAGCACAAGAAATATTTCTACGACCGGTAAGTACACATGAAAAAATTATTATAATTTTTCGTCTTGCTAATAAAATAATGGTAACAGTTATAATTTTTTGTTTTTTTTTCAGATGCTTGCATTATTTCAGTACGAACGAAAAATTGCAATCGCATACAATGGACTGTAGGAAAATCAATAACTGCGCTATCCGACTGCCGAGCGCGGACGAAAAGTGGCTCGAATTTGGGAATCACTGCAAGGAGCGCGTCTCATTCGTCGTCTACGCCAACTTGGAGAGTTTTACGGAAGACGGAACCCGACGACAAGGAATACATGTCGTCGTCGTACGCGTATAAACAGCATGAGGTATTCAGCATAGACTATTACGTGCGTTGCTCGTACGATGACACGTTATCATAGTATCACTTCCGTCGATGAAGACTGTATAGCGTGGTTCGCGCGACAACTCAACGATTTGGCGCATCGCATAAAAAAATCTCTTATCCGCCAATGTGTCCATGAAAACGTTGTCGAAAGAACAATGGCGTATTGTAGCGCGACGCATTATCACATTTGCGAGAAACCGTACGCGCTGGACGATACGCGAGTACGCGATTATTGCCACCGGTAGATACCGCGGTCTAGCGCATTCGAATTGTTACTTAAATTATAAAAATTCATTATATATTCCGATCGTTTTTCACAATTTATCGGGCTACTACGCGCATTTTATAATTAAGGAAATCGCTACAGCATATGAAGGACACGTAGATATATTACCGATAACCAAAGAAAAATACATCTCTTCATAAAACATGTCGATAGCACTAAAGATAAAACTGAAAATAATTTTCCAAAAAATTGCATAAAATTACGTTTTATTGATTCTTTCAAATTTCTCAGCACAAGCCTCGATAAATTAGCGTTGTATCTCGATAAAGACAAATTAAAAATTATACGTTCAAAATTTTCAACACTACCGGATGATGAATTTACATTACTGACTCGTAAAGGTATCTTTCCGTACGAATACGTTGACTGTGTCGAAAAATTGCAGGACACGCGCTTACCACCGCGCGAATCTTTTTACAGTTCGTTAACGTGATACCGTATCTGAGAGCGATTACGCTCACGCCGCGAACGTATGGCAACGATTCTCCATCCGAACGCTCGGCGAGTACAGTGATCTGTACTTGAAAACCGATGTCTTGTTATTAGCTGACATTTTCGAAAATTTCCGTGAAAGTTGCGTCGCGAGTTACGGTCTCGATCCCGCACATTATTACACCTTGCCTGGTTTCACGTGGGACGCGATGTTAAAACATACGCATGTAAAGTTTGAGTTACTCACTGATATTGACATGATCATATTCATCGAGCGCGGTATACGCAGTAGTCTCAGTCAATATTCAGGCAGATACGCGCAGGCTAATAACAAGTACATGCATTCGTACGACCCGTCGGAACCGTCGTCGTACTTGATAACTACGACGTTAACAATTTATACGGATGGGCGATGTCAACCATTGCCATATGCCAAATTTCAATGGGTCGAAGATGCTGCGAACTTTGAGCGTGATCGCTCTGGATTCGCCTATCGGTTACATTCTCGAAGTCGATCTCGAGTATCTGCAGCATATACACGACCGGCACACTGACCTACCGTTCTGTCTGACGCGCGATAAGCCGCCCGGCAAGCGCGAACATAAACTTTTAGCGACGCTGTACAATAAACAGCGTTACGTCATCCACTACCGCAACCTGCAGCAATGTACTCGTCACGGTCTTCGCGTAACAAAGATCCATCGGATGCTACAATTCGCGCAATCTCCATGGCTTCGCGATTACATTGAACTTAATACAAATTTCAGAATGCGCGCGCAAAACGATTTCGAAAAAAATTTGTATAAATTAATGAACAACGCGGTATTCGGTAAAACTATGGAGAATGTGCACAACCACTCTGACGTAAAATTATTAACAAAATGGGATGGACGATACGGCGCGGAGGCAATGATTGCAAAACCAAATTTCCACAGTCGTAGCGTCTTTGCGGAAAATTTAATAGCCGTGCTGCTTTAATAACCGTCGAACTGCGCAAACTCGAGGTGAAGTTCAATAAGCCGATTTATGTGGGTATGTGTATACTCGACATATCGAAAGTCTGCTTGTACGAATTTCACCACGAGTATACCACTGTTTCGCGACAAATGTAAAATAATGTACACCGATACAGACAGTCTTATATACCGCGTCGAGTGCGAGGACGTTTACGAGACTATGAAACGCGATAACGCTAGATTCAACACGAGCGATTATCCGATGGACAACGTACGGTATGCCTCTCGCGAACAAAAAAGTCGGTCTGATGAAGGACGAAAATAACGGTACGATAATGACTGAATTCGTTGATCTCAGAGCGAAGATGTACGCGGTGAGGGTGAACGGCAAGAAGGATACTAAAAAGGTGAAAGGCATAAAGAATAACGTCATAGCGCAAACGATAACGTTCGACGATTACACGCGGTGTTTGAACGAAGAGATCGAAATGACTCGTCGTTAATCGTGTATACGATCTAAACTGCACGAGGTATACACGATATCCGAATCGAAAATCGCTCTGAGTCCATACAATGACAAACGGTACGTCGTATTGGACTCGACGGAGATATTACTGTGGGGACATTGGCAGATACTTTTGTAATATATGTACATATTAACATTTATATTACTATTATTGTATGTTTTTACATTTTTTAATATTTTCATACAGTGTATATGTATTACTATTATTATGCTTTATGTATTATTTTAATTTGTACTTCGTGTATGTCTTTTTACATTTTTTAAATATTCTCATACAATCTACATACCTGTTACTATTATGTACTATTATCATTATAATTTACACATTATGTTTTTACGTTTTATATAAGTATTACTATTATGTTTTTACGTTTGTTTGAGATTCCGTCGGCACGCTAGATCGATACCGTTGGCGCCATCTCACAGTCGCCCGTGAGGCCTAGGGAAGCAACTCGAGCGACCGTGCGATGGAGTGCGGGGGGGCGGGCGAGGGGCAGGGGGTTCATCCAGTCGGCGTTCACGTGTCCCCGGCACGCTAAGTCTCGCAGACCAGGGGCAGTTGTCGCTGGTAGTTTCTCAAGTCAGTCTCTCAAGTCTAAGTCTAAGTCTCAGTCGGGTCGTTCGTCAACGCTCACTTTGGAAGGAACCACTCAATAGACGGCTCAATAGACGGCTCATATAGACGGCTCATATAGACGGCTCACATAGACGGCTCAATAGACGGCTCATATAGACGGCTCAATAGACGGCTCATATAGATGACTCAACAGACGGCACAATAGAAGAGTCTGTGGCTGAGTAGAGTCGAAGGTGGCTGTCTCTGTGCAAGGAACTATTCAAAAACTACAAAGAGTGCTCAACCACACGCCTTCATCAGCGCTGCAAGACTTTCTCACTACACAAGCTGCGCTCATACGAAATCTCTCGGCAAGTTCTGTCTCCATCGCGGAGTCGGGCACAAGAGAGTTTCCCGAACAACGTTTTATATAAATATTACTATTATGTTTCATGTAGTGTCATTTATTATGTATTACTATTATTTTTCATTTCATGTATCGTACATTTATATACGTATTTTATACTCTAAAAATGGAAAGGATAATAAAAAATATTTTAGACGTTTATATTCTTATATGTATTCTATATTGTTATATGTATATAAAATATATCAATTAAAAATTTATCAAATAACATTGTTTTTATGTATCCATGAATTGCGATCCATCGAATCCTAGCCACTTGATGTACACTTTGTCGCCCTTCCTGCGCAACACTTTCTCCACGAGATACACGTCCGGATGAGTAGCGCGATGCAACTCGTGCTCGTAGAACGCTCCAGCGACAGATTTTCTACGATAGTCCTCGAGTAGATAGGTTACGGGATTGGTACGCTGCACCTTAACGATCGTAAACACCTCAGTGGTTCAATTTGGTGTGTGACTCTTCTCAAAAATCGTCTTGTACTTGCTCATGCATACCGAATCGCCTACTTTAAATTTTGCAGGATCCGCTATCTTTATCGCACTGTACACTGTGCCCAAGAGTTTTTCGTCGATCGCAGAAGTTACGTCAGCGGGTCGCATGCTAATGGTGCGATGCTAGCGCGTGTTGTAATCTGACACGAGACGCGATAGCTCGTCGACCCACTTGTAATTGCCGTTGAGTGTAAACATCTTTCACATGTCATTTTTGAGCGTGCGATTGAACCGCTCGATCACTGACGCTTTCAACATCGAATATGTGGAATAGTGATTAACGTTGTGTTTTTTCAAGATATTCTGTACATCTGCATTGTAAAAGTCTTTCCCCATATCCGTTTGTAAATTTTTCGGACATCTTTCGCTCTCTCGAATGATTTCAGCAATAGCGTTAGCCGTCTCGCTTCCACCCTTGCTCTTAAGCGGAACGGTCCACGCGTACTTGCTCAACACATCGATGACGGTGAATATGTAGTGGTAGCCTCTGTTGAAACTCGAGTACGGGCGCATCTCAACGATATCAGCCTGTCACAGATCGTCGTACCCTTGGACTATCACACGCCTTCGCGGAAAATTTCTTCTCGCCGAAGCGTGCAATTCCTCGACGAGCCGACGTTTCTGAGAGCTAATTTTTTCTCTCTTTTCGTCGGATTTCTTTTTCATGATTCGACGTGTAATACACAGAGTACAAGAAATTATTGTATTTTTTCTCGCTGGTGTCACTCGACTAACTCGTTTTATGAATAAGCGATTTAATTTATAATAAGACCGGCTTCGCGAAGTTCCTCGATGATCGACAGCATCTCGTCGTGAGCGTTGTTGCCTGCTCGGTGCGAAGCATCGAGCAATCGTAGACGATTCACCAGCTCGTTGGGATCCCAGTGCACGTAATCGATCGCGTTGTCGTTCAATGTCATTGCGTGAGGTAATCCCTTTCCAGATTTCTTCTGTTTCTTGGGTGTGACCGACATCAACGGCGCGATTACATGTTTGTACTTGTATCCTCTGTTGCTCAATAATCGACCCTGTGAATGGTATTTGTGTTTGTGCGCGTTCGTCACCAACAGCATGCTCTTGTACTTGTGCATATCGTCTTCCGTGTAGAAGGCATCGTCGGGAATTCTCTTGAAAATCAACTCGTAAAGAGTATACCTGGTATACCTGGTATACCGGCGTATCGTACGCCGTCGATAATTATGTTGTCCGCGTCATCCACGTCGAAACGTTTATTGCCAAACATCAGTCCATCCTTGTGTAGGTAAACGCTGTACACGCGATTTATACCGCTCTCTTTACCTCGCGCTCCCCTCAAGACAGCCTCGATGTACTATTGACCCAGCGGGTCAAATCAGCTCATAACGCCTCTCGACCTTTCGATGTTTGCAACTGATTTTAAACCTTCGTCGCTAGCGAGTCTTCTGTCGTTTCGAAAACGTTCTCTAACAACTCTATCGTCGGTATGATTTTGGCACGCGGGGTGGAGGTTATTGGTTGTACATCATCGTGCGATCGATAATGATCGATTGGATTTATGCAGAGTCGTGGTACGCTCAAACGTCTCGCTCGCTTCTTCTCTCTCCTCTTGTTCCTCTTTTTCCTTCCTCTCACGTTTATGGGCAGACGCTGTATCTTCGTCGCGCGACACTGTCTTTGTCGCGCGCATGTCGGGGCTGTCGGCGAAAAATCGCAGCGGCTCGATAAGAGGTTTAAAATCTCTGTCCAACGCGATGCCCTCCTCGATTCTACCGGTCTTCAGAGCGCGATGTTTCTTGCGGATCGACTCGCTCGTCTTCTCGATCGCTCTCGTGATTTTTTCACGCTCGCGCACATCTGCCATGTTCGTCTTTGACTAAGTATCGACAACGACTGGTCGCGTTACGGTATCGCGAACTCATTAAATCTTTTTCTGTATCGTCCATTTGTGAGCGCACTTTCTTTGTCTATCACTATGAATCTATATTTTTGTTGCCAACAGGCGTGGCACAACGCGCAAAATTCGTCGTACGACATGTTGGTATTTACATGATCGTTGTAAACGTGTTTCAAGTTGGTATCATCTTATTTGAACACGATCAGAAGGTTCGCGTTGTCGCGTATCAGATGTTTAGGTATCCTCGCGTACGTCTGACAGAGATAGAAGCAGTCAACGTTCGCATGACGACCCATCGAAAAGTATTCTCTCACCGCATCCTGCTTGTCGCATGCACGTCATCAAAGATAAAAATAGAATTTGGACGCGCCTCACTCGGTGGAACGATGTCGCTGTTGTTGGAGAACGTAAAGTAGCCGATTTCATCGATAGACGTAAACAAATTTTCGAGATATCGATACTTTGGCTGTTGTAACGATTTCGAAGACGTACACGTTCTCGAAACGTATACCGTTCGGGCTCTCGAGTAAACTTATGAGAATGTTGGTTTTACCGCAATTCGACGGGCCGCAAATGATCGTGCGTATAGTACTCGGCAGCATTTCGCCATGCTTTGCGCTTCTCCGCGCTACCTTCCATCATTCGCGATTTCGCGTCACAGTTCGTAACGCGTATCGTCAGCGGTTGCAGCACGAATTTCATGCTCACACTACAGGCTGTGCGCTCTCGAACGACTATTTAAAGACGTGCGAATCCCGCGAATCGCGCAGTGGCAAAATGTATCTCGCGCTGAGTCATTCTTCCGATATTCAAGACTTGAGCGCCGAGCAGTTGCAATATATACCGAAAATCGTATTCTTACGCGTGTACGGCGATTACATCGAACACGTCTGAGACCAGCTTCCGGAACACGTGAAGGCAGATTCGGAGGTTCGAACCTATCATCGGTGCGACGAGCACTACAATCAGCCGTGGCAGCGAATGCACATCGACGGTCCCGCACCTAAGATAAAGGACTGTAACGAATGTCAGCGTCGCGCGGCGGTCTGTTGAATCGAGCGGTAAACGCGCTTCCTTTCGAGTTACATATTCCGGGCTACCAGTTTTGCGGCTCAGGCACTCGACTTGCGAAGCGATTAGCCAGAGGTGACGCGGGCATAAATCCGCTGGACGCGGCGTGTTGAGAACACGACATTGCGTATTCGCACAGCAACGATCTCACCGATAGACACGCGGCAGACAATATACTAGTCGCGAAGGCGCGGAAACACATTACCACGAGTGATTCGGCTCTGGGCGAGAGAGCCGCCGCTGCTGCCGTCTGGGCAGCGATGAAAGCCAAGACCAAGATCGGCATAGACATGAAGAAGAAGACGACGAAAAAGCGAATACTTCCTACGGTGAAACGAGGTGGTGCGTTACCGTTTCTGCCAATGTTGGGCGCGCTCGGATCCTTGATCGGCGGAGCGGCCAGCGTGGCGAAAGCGGTAAACGACAACAAAGCCGCGCGACGTCAGCTCGAAGGCTGCAACGACACGACCGCGCGATGGAACAGGGCCGCGGACTGTATCTCGCTCCGTACAAATACGGACGCGGACTGTATCTCGGCCCGTACAAACATGGACAGGGTGCAGCTGCAAAGAAAAAAAAACGCCAAAGAGACGATAAAAATGCCGTCTGGCGCAACTACCAATGTGCAATTACACGAGCTCGCGAGACATATGCGCATACCATACTTTAGAGGCGTTTTCATGCGTAACGCGTTACCGACGAGCGGTGTGCGTCGAAACGAAAGCGGTATCGTGAATCTGGACGATGCAATGGGGCCTGGTACTCACTGGGTAGAGTACGCGAAGAGGAACAACCGCGTCGTATACTTTGACAGTTTCGGTAATCTTCGACCTCCCAAGGAACTGGTGCGATATTTCGGGAACGGTGCTACAACGATAGAGTACAATCGTACGTCCTATCAGACGTACGATCAGAGCTTCTGCGGACAGATGTGCCTGCGGTTTCTTCAAACGGTAGACGCGCGTGAATTTAAAAAGCTCGGCAAGATGCTGTGAAATTTCAGTATTAGTCGAACACCGTCATGTCGCTGACGCTTACGCTGAGCGGGAAGAGCACCGTCCTCGCGGCAAACTACTTTCCCGCCATAGATTTGAGTGACGGCGATTACGAGCTCGGTCTGGCGATTTTTGAGGCTTATCACACGATACCGAACGTGAATAATTCGAACAACAAATTTTATTTTGCCAAAGATGATGCGGAAATTACAATTCCTGAAGGTTCGTACGAAGTGCGAGACATAAATGAATTTCTAAAACGCGCGATTTTACGGAAACGTCCTCACCGTGACGCGCTTGAAACCGCTGACGTAGTGCGCGATAACAATAAGAACAATGACGCTGATGATGATGATAACGGTGAGGGTGTAGAATACCCGATTACGCTCCGCGCAAACTACAACACGATGAGATGCGAGATTAGATGTGCATACAGAATAAACTTTGATAAACCCAACAGCATTGGATCGCTGCTGGGATTCTCGTCGAAGCGCATACTGCGACCGCGAAGATGGCATGAATCGGACATGTCGATCAACATAATGAACGTAAACGTTATCCGCGTAGAGTGCAACGTGACTGCGGATGCGTACAGCAATGGCAAAAGCTCGCACACGATACACGAATTTTCACCGAGCGTGTCGCCAGGATATAAGATATCGGAAAGGCCGGCACAGATCATTTACCTACCGATCATCGCACGGAGCATTACGGATCTAACGATACGCGTCGACCAGAACGGACGATTGCTCGATTTTCGCGGAGAAGAGATCACCGTTAGATTGCACGTACGACGTAAACAGTGAGATGCTCGTGTTGAACGGAACGGAGCGCACGCAGAGAGATAACGTATTCTTTACAAGGCCAACGACGTCACAGCTCGATAACACTCGCTCATCCAACTGCATTAGAAAGAAGAAGAAGCTCAGCGCGTCGAACGTTACATTTTTAAAGTCTTTGGGATTCGCGGTGCGCAACATTTGAGATGACTGATATCCTAAACATTAAAGACGAGCCGATCTTTGACGATCGCATTGTCGTCAAGATTGAGACTCACACGTACAACCCGTTCGCTAACACAACGTTCGGGTACAGCGATAAGATAAGAATACCCATACAGCAACAAGATCTATGCACATTGCTGTACGAAAGCTTTCTATACATCGAGGGAAAACTGACGAAGAACAAAGTGGTCCAGGGTGCTAGCGTGTCATTGGGAAATAATTGCGTTGCGTTTATATTCGATGAGATTCGATATGAACTCAACGGTGTGGAGATTGATCGTAACAGAAACGTAGGCATAACTAGCACGATCAAAAACTATGTAACAGTGTCATCCGACAGAAGCGTGATTCTGCGGAATGCAGGCTGGGATGCGCAGACTACTGCGGCCGGATACTTTAATTTCTGTGTTCCGCTCTACGTACTGCTGGGATTTTGCGAAAATTACAGACGTGTTGTGATCAACGCTAGTCACGAATTGATTTTAATACGAGCGCGCAACGACAACAATTGTCTGACGGGAGATTCGACGACAGAGCCGACGCTCGAATTATTCAAAATATAGTGGCGAATGCCGCACGTGTTATTGAGCGAGATAAATAAGCTATCGATGCTGCGTGCTTTGGAGAGCGGACGATATCTGAGCATGGCTTTTCGCTCTTGGGATCTGTACGAGTTTCCGCTCTTGCAGAGCACAACCAAGCATTCGTGGGCCATCAAGACGGCTAGTCAGCTCGAGAAGCCGCGCTACGTCATTTTCGCTATGCAAACAGGTCGAAAAAATATCATGTCTGAGGATGCAAGTCGATTCGACCACTGCAAATTAACCAATGCTAAACTCTATCTGAATACGGAATGTTATCCGTACGATGATTTGAATCTAGATTTTGATAAAAACAGATGTGCGATTCTGTACGACTTGTACGCGCGTTTCTGCAAGGGCTACTATGGATACGAGTATCTCGAGCCGAGTCTCACCTTTACAACTTTTTTACGTAATGGCCCGTTCGTGATCATCGATTGCTCTCGACAGAACGAATCGGTCAAGAGTGGCACCGTGGACGTGCGATTAGACTTTGAATGTAAGGAGAACGTGCCCGCAAATACAACAGCCTATTGTCTCATCATACACGATCGTGTAGTTCAGTATAATTACCATTGACCAACGTTATGCGCAAAATCACCTAAGTGCACCTCCGACACGATATAAAATCTATGATACGCCACGATCGATCGCAGTATTCTCAACCTGTCTGTGCCAACGTTCATGGATCTGCAAGGATTCGTCGTTAACAAGAAATTTATCATGAAGGAAGTGGCGGTGCTGAAACAGGGGACCGTTCTCACGCATTATATTTATTAGGTTGTTCGGAAAGTAATTTCGTTTTTTTTTTATGAAAATGAAAGACGATTTATAGTGAATAAATATTTTATTGAATTATATATTGTCCATTTTGGTCCGAAGCTCAAAAAAAAAAAACGATTCCTTTGAAATCCCACCAAACAGATAGCATCACCTTTTTTTGATGAATATCGGCTTTCGAAGTGCTTTGAGCCGGTTAATCTTTTTTACTCCCTGATCTCTTGCGTTTAACATTGTTGTAGACAACCCATTTCTCGTCCCCAGTGATGATGCGCTTCAAAAATGGATCATTTTCTTGACGTTTGAGAAGCAAATCACAGACGTCAATGCGACGGGACAAATTTCTTTCCGAAAGAACATAAGGAACCCATATGTCAAGCTTTGAGATTAAACCTAGGCGTTTTAAATGATCATGAACGGTCGAATTCGATAAATTTAATCTCTCAGCGATCTCACGAGTTGTTATTCGCCGGTTTGCATCATTAATGCCTTTATTGTGTCTTCATCAGCTTCAACTGGCCTTCCAGAACGTGGTGCATCTTCAACATCAAAATTGCCGGATCGAAATTTTGCAAATCAGTTTTGGCACTGGCGTTCTGTCAATACATCTTCTCCATACACATCGGATAATTTTTTTCTTGCTTGAACAGCATTTTTACCTTTTCGATAGTAAAAAAGTAAAATATGCCGAAAATGCTGCTTTTCACTTTCCATATTTGATAGGGCACCAACCAAAAACTACTGCGTAGAATCAATCGAACTTTTTTCACAAGCAAGCCTTGCTATATCAGCTGTCAAAATATATAATGATTATGCGGCTTAAGTGTGAAGTTGGCTGTGAAAAAATACAATTAAGTCCTCTGTTGGGAAAAAACGAAATTACTTTCCGAACAACCCAATATTTTTACGAGTCCCGTATCATGGAAATTTTTGACAAGATCCGACAGGTCTTGCGCTTCCTGGTTGAGTGCTTATCATCATGGATTGCGATGGGAGGACGGGATGGTTTTGTACAACGAGGCGAAACGTCTGATCACGGCAGCTGTATTTGAAGATAATGCTATCGTGTACGTTAAGGGATGCGAGAAACGAACGTGACTGTGGAACTTGCTTCTGGACGATAAGCGAGAACGCATGTACACCTTGGATGCAATTTACGAAGACATGGAATCTTTAACTAATCTGGATGTTACTGTAATACTAGGCGATGTGGACAACATGTTAAGAAATGCGCGTTACAAAATGTATTAAAAATGTATAACTGGTGGTTGCAAAAGAATTTTATAAAAATACGTTAACGTATTTATTAGATATTTCTTTTTTCCTTTCCTTTATAATACATGTACTCATATGAACGTATGTATAAACGTATGTATGAACGTATGTATAAATGTATGTATATATAAACGTACGCATAAACGTATGTGTGTATAAATGTATGAATGTATGTATAAACGTATGTATAGACGTACGTATAAACGTACGTATAAGCTTGTGACAAAAAAATATGTAGAAAGACATGATAAAACATGTCGCGACACGTTTGAAATTCTTGGAAAGAGTTGAGAGGACCTGTCTCTCCTCTTCGATTCCAGAAGTATTACCATATACGTCACAATTTACGCGGATACAATCAGTCTTGCGATACCCGCTTGTACGAACAGTTAAAAAAAATGTTCTTCGCCAAAGAGAACAGTGCATCGTACGACGTGAAGAAGGAATATAACATGTAAGTTTCAACATTCTATACACAAAAGAAACATTTTTTTAACATTATGTATGCAGTCCGCAGCATTGTGCGATGCGTTTATTGAGCAGACGTTACGATCTGACGAATACGGGCTATAAATTTTTGGAAATTGGAATCAACGTTGGTCCACCGAGTTACATGGAGATCGTCCTGGGAGATCATCGCGGACGCGAACTGTCGCTGTCTCTTGAAACCTGGAAGAGGTCCAGCTCTACGAGCAGGAATATTTATAAAATGCTTCGAAACGAATACAAGGACAATTTTATAAGTGTTGGACCGCTAATCGTCAGAGTTCGTACGCTGAACGATGCTTGTACGTCTCGATTCTTCGTCCGCATTACGATGACTGAAACGATGCTACGCCATATGTTTTACTTTGACGGGTGTATCGATGTAACGTTCGAACGATTAATCCGACTCGTCGATACGGTTGATGCAAAGTATACGCGATTCTCCAATACGTCTGAGAACGCCATACGCGACAGCGACTTCTTCAATAGGCGTCAGTTCATCGATTGCGAGCTATTAACTTTACTTTTTAATGAAGAAAGGAACGATGTAATAACATGTGAATAAAAAAAATTTTCGTCCGCATCATTTTATATATGTATTATATTATACTTTATTTTGGTCTCCATCGGTCCATCCATCCATCCTATATCTCGACGCGCTATCACACTCTGTTTATATAAACACTTGCTAGTGCTTCTCTTAAAACGTGTAGGGTTCCATAGTCTGGCAACACTTATGATCTAAAGTGCTTAATATACAATGGTCGCTCTAGCAGCTTTGTCACAGCAAAGGATGCTTCTCAGTCTATACCGAAATTTCGTCCTCATCATTTTTCCGCGAAGTATTCGTTTCAATCATTTACATCGTGAGTGATTTTTTCATTGTGCAAAAGTATTCTACCATTTAGCATTAATAGTAGAATACTTTTGCATGTTTTGTGATTAAATGATAGTGATAGTGACAGATAGTGTGATTTTTTTCTTTTTTTAGAATAAAAAACTTTTGTTCATATAATTTAATTTTTATCAAGATGCGATGAGCAATTTGCAGGAAATTCTAGAGATCCATTGCGAGTATCTCATTGAGGTGGTAGTTTTTTCTTTTATATGTTAAATTTTTTTATTAAATTTGTTTTTTTCTAATATTTAATTTTTCTTTTTCCAGTATGTTATGGTTGAGCCGCAAGTCAGGCTGCGGCTAAAAAATGAATTAGGTATACAGATCATCCCCTTGGTAAGTTCAGTATAAATTATAAATTATACCTTATAAATTATACATAAAGTATTTTTTTTAATTCACTTTTTTCTAATTTGCTTTTTTAGGAAACACATCGCAGCCGTGTGTAAATACGCGAATTTATTAATATTTTTAATATGCAAATAATTTGTGGTGATAGGCAGCGAGATCGAGAGAATTCGAGGAATTATGGGAATATAAAACCACCTTCAACCTGGAGGAACTTTTCGGCCTCCGGCCACCCACCTGAAGAGCCTGAAGAAGAATGGTAATTCTTGGAATTGTAAGTTTAATAAAATCTTATTTATACAATTTAAAGGAATACTATATATATTTATATATTTTTACGTTATATATTATTCTTATATACCATCTGATCAAATTTGACCTGGACTGGTCCATTTAAACCGCGCGCGTAAATTGAATCGGTAAAAATTTTTTTTTTCTAGATTGGTACAACCTTCTCTGACATTCGTGTGAAATTTGAGCGGGATACGTCAGTTAGTGTGTGTTTGGCAGCCATTTGTTTACGACGCAAAAAGTTTCTCTGGCGATTTTTACTATG